TTCTTAGGTGCCTGGGCACTGAAAAGTTTTATATTTATTGTAGTTCTCACAACATGGCCTTCACAATCTGTTCCTGTCCTTCTTGGGAAGGATTTTCAGGTATTCAAAGAAATGTGGGCCCCAAGCCCAGTAATGCTGCGGTCCTTGCAGACTCATAGATGTATCACCTTGGTGCTTTTAGGTAAGAGCCATATGAACTCTTCAGATTACCAGACTCTTTCTCTTTCCTTACTTTCTCCTGAACAAACGGTGTCTCAATCAGCAGGTAGTGAAGCCAGCCAAGTTTGTGTTCTTCCCTTCAGGGTGGTGAGTTCCGCTAGACCCTAAGCATCCAGAGATACTGTTTTTTGTTTTTGAGATGGAGTCTCACTCTTGTCACCCAGGTTGGAGTGCAATGGTGCCATCTTAGCTCACCACAACCTCCACCTCCTGGGTTCAGGTGATTCTCCTGCCTCAGTCTCCCAAGTAGCTGGGATCACACCCATGCGCCACCATGCCTGGCTAATTTTGTATTTTTAGTAGAGATGGGGTTTGACCATGTTGCCTAGGCTGGTCTTGAACTCCTGACCTCAGGTGATTTGCCCACCTCAGCCTCCCAAAGTGCTGGGATTATAGGCACGAGCCACTATGCCCAGCCCAGAGATACTGTCTGGTAGCCAAGAATTAAGAGTCAAAAACCTTAGAAATCTACCTGGTGTTCTCATCTAGTCTAGCTAAGCTGGCACTCAAATCATATGACAAAGTCCTTCTCTCTCCCCTCCCCTTTACACAGGCAGAGGAGCCTCTCCCTGTAGTCACTACCAACTCTATCCCATAAGGAGAGCATACTGCCAGGCTACTGCTGATGTTCCCTTGAGGCCCAAGGGTGCTTCCATCAGCCTGTGGTGAATACTGCCAGGCCTGGGACTCACACTTCAGGGCAGTGGGCTCCCCTCTTGCCCAGGGCACATCCAGAAATTGTGTCCAAGAGCCTAAGCCTGGACTTGGAACCCAAGAGCCTGCTTGGTGTTCTGCCTTACTGTGGTTGAGCAGGTACCTGAAGCCAGCACATCTCAGAGTCTCATCCGGGACCTATAGCATACTATCTAGGTATTGCTCCTGTTTATTCAGGGCCCAAAAATTCTTTCAGCACGTGGTGAATCCTACCAGGACTGTGTCCTTCTCTTCAAGGAAGAGTGTTCCCTTTTGGCCCAACATGTGTCTAGAAATGTTGTCTGGGGACATAATTCTGCAGAGTCCCCTGTCTTACTGTGGCATATCTGGTATCCAAGATGCAAGACAACATCCTCTTTACTCTTATCTCTCCTCTTCTCAAACAGACGGAAGGAGTCACTTTTGTTGCTGCAAGCTTCCCTGCCTGGGGTTAGGGGAGGGGTGGTAAACACTTCTAAGCCACCCTGCCTGATACGTCCCTAGGTCACATGCTGCCCCATTCCATTGGCTCTAAGTCCAGCAAAGCACCAGGACTTGCCTAAGAATTGCAATCTTTATGTTCTAGACTGCCTTTCAAGTTCACTTTAGACCCTAGTGCACTTTAGCCTGCTTTGGTGAGGCTTGCTGAAACTCAAGTTCTAAGCACTGCAATGGGCCATTCCCCCCTGGCGAGGGCTGGTCCAAATGCTCCCTCCACGAGCAGGCACTGACTGCGTTCAGATGGTTTTATTTTCTGCTGTGACAAGGCAGCACAGAGTTCAATGCCAAGTACCCCAGTCACTGTGCTTTCTCCCCCAAGTGCACAGATTGTCTCTCTGTGCTGCACAGCCACTGCTAGGAGGAAGGAGGGAGAGGTATTACCTGTGATTCAAGGCTGTATCTTGTGTGTCTTCAGTGCCTCTTTCTAGCAGTGTGAAGTTAAAACCAGGTTCTGTGATTGCTTACCTGATTTTTGGTTCCTATGAAGGTGCTTCTTTGTGTACAGATAGTTGTTAAAATTCGACATTCCTGTAGGGGAGCAATCCGTGGAGCCTTCTATTTCATCATGTTGCCTCACCCTCAGATCCTTTATTTATTTATTTTGCGTTTCCTCTCTTTTCTTTATCAGAGTGGACAATAAATTGTTTAATTTTGTTGTTTTTAACTAATTTTATAGTTTACTGTTTAGCAACTTTCTTCTTCATTTCTAAGTCATTTCTCCTTTATTTATCTTTCTGCTTTTCTTAGCCTTATTTTGTATTTTGTAACTTGGGTGCCTAATTTATGTATTTTCCTATTTCTTTTTGTATTCAGAGAACTATTTGAGGCTACTGTTTTTCCTCTGACTTCTTTTTTAACTATTCCCATGAGGTCTTATATGCTGTGTTTTCACTATTTTCATTTTCTAGCTATTCTTGAGTTTCTGTTTGAATTTGTGCTTTTATCTTCAACAATATTTTATTAGGAGATTCAGATGGGCCACATTAGGAGATTCTTTTAAACTCTAGTATTACAAATGATTGAACTTAAGAATATTAAGTTCCGTGTGATGAAAGTCAATGAAATTGTGTGAGGGGGTTGAAATGATTTCTGTGAATCAGTAGCGAACTGCCTTTATTGGCGGACTTGGAAACAATTAAGGCTGGAAGAATCTGTAGAGAAAACTAAAAGTGGAACTAGAGGGCAGGTCTAGGTAAAAGTAAAATGAGAAACATTAGTGATAAGATGGCATCTGAAACATATTATTAAAGAGCACTATCCCCATCTCCTCAAGCCTTATTGCTGTCTTGATGTCTGAACCATACAGTGTGACTCTATACATATTGTGCTGGGTTATAATTGCTCATATTAGACTATAAGCTCTTTGAGGGCAGATGATCTGTTCTTTGCAGTAACAAGCCCAGGTGTTCACTCTACTTAATGGTACTGTGGCTGATCATAGTTGGAGGGATCAAAGTTTCATAGACACTAAACAATAAAAATGCCATTAAATGTGTATTAAAAGTAAATAAAACTTCTAGACGGTATCTGCTGCCAACACAAATTAGATTAGTTGGCATAAAAATCTGCTCTGGATCAATCACTTGTTTTAACTCTTTGGGCAATATTGCTGTAGTGTTATAAATTGCTGACACATATTTTTCTCAAGTTTTATAATATTCAGAAAGCGACTCTTTAAAAAGTTTCAATGTGTCTTTTAAGAAATCATACTCTTTTGCACTCGTATTAGTCTTTGCTTTTCTCTGGTCTCAGCAAAATGCTCGTGTAACTGTCTGACCTTTATCACAAATTATGGCAGTGCTTAACAGTACATTTTTCTGGGCTTGGTCTTCTTTTCATCATATAGAGAACTCAGAGCTGTCTCGCATCTGAGACCCCACTTGGGCTACACAAGTAGGGACAGTCATCACTCTGGGTGTTTATAATCAAGCAGGTGGGGACTGAATGTATGATGGGCACATAGAAAGATAATTAATTAAAACCCACTTATACAAAGACAAAACGACCATATGTTATATCCAAAGTTGGCAAAACCACGGTAGTGGTTTTGTAGATTATTACATCTACCAGTGTAGATTATTACATCTCCCCTTAGTAGATAACTGCAGCAGCAACAACAACCACAAAGAGCAGCTGTCATTCATTGACTGCTTACTCTGTGTCAGATGCTGTTCTTAGTACCTTCTGTGGCCAACTTACTAAATCTTCATGACCCAAGTAACCATAAGTTTACCCATTTTATAGATAAGGTAACTAGTGCACAGAGAGATTAAATGCCTCAGGTCTCTGAGTTAGTAAGTGGCAAAACTGGAATTCAAACTCCCAAGCAGTCCAGTTTTAGAATACTCTCATTACCATTATATGCTGCTGCTTCTAATACAAAATGATTGGGATTTAAGTACATATCCATTCAGTGGCTTACACATAATGAACAAGAACAGTCATTAGAGAAATCAAAGAATTTCAAAGCTGGAAGGAACCCTAGGGAGCAACAAGTTGGTCAAATCTCTCACATGAGAAATTGGAAGCTTAGAGAGATGGAAGAGCAGAATTATAGATGTGGAAATGGATGGAGCCGGGGTTGACTTCAGGTCTTCTGCCTCCTAGGGTATTCCCTTTTTAAATGACCTTATATATTATTTTCTTGGTTTTCATCATGCATTATCTTGTATAAAAAGTAGAAAATTGCTGGGCGCGGTGGCTCAAGCCTGTAATCCCAGCACTTTGAGAGGCCGAGGCGTGTGGATCACGAGGTCAAGAGATCGAGACCATCCTGGTCAACATGGTGAAACCCCATCTCTACTAAAAATACAAAACATTAGCTGGGTATGGTGGTGCGTGCCTGTAATCCCAGCTACTCAGGAGGCTGAGACAGGAGAATTGCCTGAACCCAGGAGGCGGAGGTTGCGGTGAGCTGAGATCGCGCCATTGCACTCCAGCCTGGGTAACAAGAGTGAAACTCCGTCTCAAAAAAAAAAAAGTAGAAAATTATACTATTCCTGATTTTATTCTGTAATTGTGCAAAAAAAGATCAGGGATATAATATTTGTTGAGCAACTGTTATGTACTGGCTCCATGGTAATTCCAGGTTGCAAATGCAACTGTCCTTTTTATACAACTGAGGAAGCTAAGGCTCAGAGAGGTTAAAAACTTGCCCCAATCCTAAAGCTAGTAAGTGTTGTAATCCCATTGGAATTCTTATTTGTTGGGCTTTGAAACCAACAGTCTTTGTACTCCCTGGACTGTCCATGGTTAAGGCCTTCAAAGAGTACAGACTTCATTAACCATGTGTATTAAGCTCTAACTATTTACTCATTTTTCTACTGAGATACATGCTCTCCTCCAGTGTTGCAAATATACCTGCTACCTCTATTAATGATGTTATTTTTAAAAAAGAGTTTCTATGGATCTCTTCTTTTTGGTGAAAAAATTTTCTGGCAGAGTACTTCCTGAAAAAAAACCTCCGCTACTGAGAAGCCCTTTAATTTGTTATTGCTTCTAAGGTAAGACTATTAGATATCCCTCCCTAGCTGCGGTAGCTGGGCTGTAAACTGTCTGCACTTTGTCTTGTTGGGATTTTGTGGTTTAATTGTTTCAAGTAACTTACATGGCTACATTTACAGACACAAAGAGGAGCTGGACTGATGTTTAGTTGTCTTGCACCAGCTTGTATTTTTAGATTATCTAGTATCCCAGGAAAAGGGTTTATATCCAAGATAATCCTTGCTCTGGACTGGTTTTCTTTCTGTGTTTTGACCCTCCCAGAAGCAGAAGAGTCATCTTGCATCTCGGTAAAAGCAGAGAAGGGGAAATATCTTTGAATTGCTGGATAGCACAGCTTTTCTCATTCAGCATTTTTTGTGTTTTGCACAAGAAAACTTCTTACTGCAAAATTTGTTTGTTGGCGGATCACAGACTTCAAAGTCACAGGAACTTATCTGTGATATACTGAAAGTAAATCCAATGTATTAAATAGTTTAGTCAAAATAAGGTAGAGAGGCCGTGAAGGGTCTGTAAACATTTGGTAAGAAATTTTGTCTTTTTTGCTGTTGCTCTAGTTTCCCTAGATGGCATTGCAATTATTGGTTGGGATTACTAGTGTTTGTCTTTAATCATTAAGGATACTGTCTCTTTGGCTGTCTGTGAAAGCTCTCCAGAGATCGGATGCAAAGAAGCATGAGGACCTTCATTTTCACTCCAGTGGTTGTGGTGACCGTGGTTGAGTTTGAGGGAATGGGGCGAGTTCATTGGTGAAGCAAAAGACAAAAGCTTAGACATAGCCCATTGTTTTCTTCTTTCCTTTATTTGCCTAAATCCATAAAGCCAGTGGGAGTCAATCAGGCAACACGAGCATATTCCAGTCTCTTTTCTTGCCTTCCTCATAAAGGCAGTCATAGGAGCTGGGCAGGTAGCATGAGGCCTATTACATCGTCCTGGGTTCCACACCATCTAGCTGGCCTCACCACTGTAAGGCCATCTCTCTCTCTGAAGGATCCAGGCAGTTCTTTACAATGTATCATTATAGCAGAACTGCTTCCTTGCCTGGGTGGCATTCCAAATTAACATAATAGAATCATAATGAGCTATGCCACTTTTAACTTGCCAGATATGTTCAAAGTACATTTCTCAACAGTAGTGTCATACCTAGTCAATCAAGTAATCCATTTACTCACTGGCTTCTGGCTGAAGGAAAGGTCATATGCTTGTCTTGCAAAACAAAAGAGAATTGTTTCAAGAAAGGCCAATTATAGCATGTTTCAAATGCCTTTGGCTACCTGAGTGCCCAAACTTGACCAATCTCATGGTAGGGGTGAGACCTACAGAGCCAATTCTAATATAAAACAGCAGACACATAGCAAACCAACAAACTGACTTCCCACTCTTTAACAAAGGGAGTTAATTCAGCTTTTGTTGGGGAAGAGGTGATTGTTATCCACATTCAGGAAGCCTCTGTGAGTTGTAGAAATGGGACACAGCAATAATCAAGGATGCCACGGAAGGAATATTGGAAAAGTAATGAGATTTTCCTCAGTTCATCATCTAATTAGAGGGCAGGTTAAAGTCCAAAGTAATGAAATTAAAATCTAACTACCATTAAGTCTGTAATGTTTTTTGCTGGTACCAGAGCACCCGGCACTGTAGGAGTCATGTGAGGGCACAGAAGCCCCAAAAGCAGAGGAGTGTAAGGCTTTAGGTAGAATTTGACGGAGCTCCATTTGAAACGGGGGCAGGGGGTGAGACAAATTGGTAAGATATCAGAATGTATGATTCTTTGTTGAAAAGGAATAATACTTACCTATAGAAGTCTCAGTTTGCTCTGCTGCCAGGTTATTCAGATTATGTTATTATAATAGACCTAATGGAAGATGACTTTTCCTTTGTGAATACATTTTTGTGGGAGATGGGCTCATTTGTAGAAAATATAGACGTTTTAGCCATAGCAGTATTTGTTGCACCATTGGCAAATGATAAAACTTTTGGACATTAGAGTCAATGACAGGGATAGCGTGACAATCCATAAAAGTACCTGGACTGAGATCATTGCATTCTTAACAGGAGAGGAATAAACAACAGAAGAAACACACACTCACATGAACACACGGGCACACAGATACACCACAGAATGGAGAGCAATAAATTATTGGTCTCATTCCTGCCTGGTTCCAAAGAAGAGGTGCCATTAAAGCCTCCCAGGCCACTTCCCCACCTCTCCCCTGACCGGGCCCCCTCCATCTGGTAGTTGCCAGTCAATGTTGGAGGTCTGACCCATGCTTTTCTCTCCTTGGGAAAAGGTGAGTTTAAATATTTGGCTTCTTGCTAGAGAAGACCTATACACAAAGGAAATAGCTACACTGGGCTGAAAGGGCCAAAGTAAATAGGAAGTAAAGTTTTATGTTTTAGATATGAGCATGGAGTGGTCGTATGGTTTTGCTCTGTGTCCCCACCCAAATCTCATCTTGAATTGTACTCCTGTAATTCCCATATATTGTGGGAGGAACCCAATGGGAGATAATTGAATCATGGGGGCGGTCTCTCCCATACTGTTCTCATGGTAGTGACTAAGTCTTGCGAGATATGATGGTTTGATAAGGGGAAACGGGTTTCACTTGGCTCTCACTCTTTTTTTTTTTTTTGAGACAGAGTTTCGCTCTTGTTACCCAGGCTGGAATGCAATGGCACGATCTTGGCTTACCGCAACCTCTGCCTCCTGGGTTCAGGCAATTCTCCTGCCTCAGCCTCCTGAGTAGCTGGGATTACAGGCACTCGCCATCATGCCCAGCTAATTTTTTTGTATTTTTAGTAGAGACGGGGTTTCACCATGTTGACCAGGATGGTCTCGATCTCTTGACCTCGTGATCCACCCGCCTAGGCCTCCCAAAGTGCTGGGATTACAGGCTTGAGCCACTGCGCCCAGCCTTGGCTCTCATTCTTTTATCTGCTGCCATGCATATAAGACATGACTTGCCCCTCCTTGCCTTTCACCATGATTATGAGGCCTCCCCAGCCACATGGAACCTAATTAAACTTTTTTCTTTCGTAAATTGCCCAGTCACAGTTATGTCTTTATCAGCAGCATGAAAAAGGACTAATACAGTAAATTGGTGCCAGTAGACTGGAATGTTGCTGAAAAAAATACCTGAAAATGTGGAAGCAACTTTGGAACTGGGTAAAACAGGCAGAGGTTGGAACAGTTTGGAGGACTCAGAAGAAGACAAGAAAATGTAGGAAAGTTTGGAACTTCCTAGAGATTTGTTGAATGGTGTTGACCAAAAACCTGGCAGCAATATGGACAATAAGGTCCTGGCTGAGGTGGAAAGATATGACTTAGGGTATCTGGTGGAAGAAATTTCTAAGCAACAAAACATTAAAGAGGTGACTTGGGTGCTATTAAAGGCATTCAGGGACAAAGAGCATAAAAGTTTGGAAAATTTGCAGCCTGACAATGTGAAAGAAAAGAAAATCCCATTTTCTGAGGAGAAATTCAAGTCAGCTGCAGAAATTTGCCTAAGTAATGAGCCAAATATTAATCCCCAAGACAATGGGGAAACTGTCTCCAGAGCATGTCAGAAGGCCTTCATGGCAGCCCCTCCCATTACAGGTCTGAAAGCCTAGGAAGAAAATATAGTTTCTTGGGCTGGGCCCAGGGTCCCTGTGCTGTGTGAAGTCCAGGGACTTGTTGTCCTGCATCCCAACTGCTCCAGCCATGACTATAAGGATCAAGGTACAGCTTGGGCCATGGTTTCAGAGGGTGCAAGCCCCAAGCTTTGACACTTCCACACTGGTGTTGAGCCTGTGGGTACACAGAAGTCAAGAATTGGGGTTTGGGAACCTCCACCTAGATTTCAGAAGATGTATGGAAATGGCTAGATGCCCAGGCAGAAGTGTGTTGCAAGGGCAAAGTGCTCATGGAGAACCTTTGGTAGGGCAGTGCAGAAGGGAAATGTGGGTCAGAGCCCCTACACAGAGTCCCTATTGGGGCACTGCCTAGTGAAGCTATGAGAAGAGGGCCACCATCCTCCAGACCCCAGAATAGTGGATCCACCGAGAGCTTGAACCCTTTTCCCAGAAAAGCCAGAGACACTCAATGCCAGGCTGTGAAAGCAGCTGGGAGGGAGGCTGTACTCTGGAAAGCCACAAGAATGGAGCTGCCCAAGACCATGGGGACATACCTCTTGCATCAGTGTGACCTGGATATGAGACATGGACTCAAAGCAGATCATTTTGGAGCTTTAAGATTTGACTGCCCTGCTGGATTTTGGACTTGCATGGGGCCTGAAACCCCTTTGTTTTGGCCAATTTCTCCCATTTGAAATAGCTGTATTTACCCAATGCCTGTTCCCCCATTGTATCTAGGTAGTAACTAACTTGCTTTTGATTTTACGGGCTCATAGGTGGAAGGGACTTGCCTCGTCTCAGATGAAACTTTCGACTATGGACTTTTGAGTTAATATTGAAATGAGTTAAGCCTTTAGAGGACTGCTGGGAAGGAATGATTGGTTCTGAAATGTGAGGAAATAACATTTGGGAAGGGTCAGGGTGGAATGATATGGTTTGGGTCTGTGTCCCCACCCAAATCTCATGTTAAATTATATTCCCATAATTCCCACTAGTTGTGGGAGGAAGCTGCTGGGAGATAATTGAATCATGGGGGCAGTTTCCCCCATATTGTTCTCATGGTAGTGAGTCTCACCAGATCTGATGGTTTGATAAGGGGAAACCCATTTCACTTGACTCTCATTCTCTCCTTTTCCCTGCTGCCATCCATTTAAGACGTGACTTGCTTCTCCTTTCCTTCCACCATGACTGTGAGGCTTCCCCAGACATGTGGAACTGTGAATCCAGTTAAATCTTCTTCTTTTGTAAATTTCCCAGTCTTGGGTGTGTCTTTATCAACAGCATGAAAACAGACTAATGTAAGTGGTATTACTCAAATGTTCACTTTTTCGTCTCCTATAAGGTTCTCCTCCTCTGAAGAGTTAGGAAAGAATAGGGTTTGTCCCCAAATTGTCCACTCCATCTTCATACACTCCTCCTCATTCCTTCTAGGGCCCCAGACCCACCCTGCCTGAAATTCCTGCCCATGGTCCCCATGATACCTCTATAGGATGCAGCTCCCTCCAGGCAGCCATTAGAGAAGTGAGGATGTGGTTCACTGGCACTTTCCTGGACTGCCCATCTCTTGTTCCCCAGGACCCTGTCACAGAGGTGACAGACCTGAACATGCATGACTTATGAGATGTGATTAGTATGCCCCTTTGGTTTTCCTGCTACTACTCCTGTAATTATTTTTAGATAAGAATATTGGTTTTTTTTGTTCTTTGTTTTTTTTTCAACAGAATGAGAGCTCTGGCAGACTCGATGACTTTTCTAATCTCAGTTCTAGGACTAGAATCCTCAATACAATATAAAACCTAACTTGAGGCCGGGCGCGGTGGCTCAAGCTTGTAATCCCAGCACTTTGGGAGGCCGAGGCGGGTGGATCACAAGGTCAAGAGATCGAGACCATCCTGGTCAACATGGTGAAACCCCGTCTCTACTATAAATACAAAAATTAGCTGGGTATGGTGGCACGTGCCTGTAATCCCAGCTACTCAGGAGGCTGAGGCAGGAGAATTGCCTGAACCCAGGAGGCGGAGGTTGCAGTGAGCCGAGATCGCGCCATTGCACTCCAGCCTGGGTAACAAGAGCGAAACTCCGTCTCAAAAAAAAAAAAAAAAAAAAAAAAAAAACCTAACTTGATTTCAAATTAAACATTCTCCTCTTTCTCAGCTTCTGGTGGGTCAGAATCCACCTTGATAAGAGGCAATGGCCCCTTTTTCCTTTCCTTTTGCCCTTTATTCCCCCCAATCCCCTACCCCTTGCCAGGATGCTAGTAACAGTTTCTGGCCCTTTCCTTTCAGAGCACAAAGAGTAGGTGGAAAAGGAAGAACAGAAAGTTCTTATTTGAATGATATTGTCATATGGCTTTGCATTTTCTTGGATAAGCAGGTGTTCAAAGCTAACTCCCGTGCACTGGCTTCCATGGATTTTTAGGAGGCTGTCTGTTGGGACCTGCTAATCAGAACCTTGAGAAGAAGCACTTCTTTCTCTCTCCTTCCTTCTTTCCTTCTTTCTTTCTTTCTCTCTTTCTTCCTCTTCTTCTTCTTTCTTCCTCCTCTTCCTCCTCCTTCTTCCTTTTTTTTTTTGGTGGTGGCCATTATCTCCTCTCCTCCTCCTTCTTTCTTTCTTTTTCTTCTCCTTCCTCCTCCTCCTCCTTCTCCTTCTTTCCTCCTCCGTCTCCTCCTCCTTTCTTCTTCCTTTTTTTTTTCTGGCAGCCAGTATCTCTCTTGATCCTAATTTTCCAGGAATCCACTATAGGCAAAACTGTCTATTGACATCCTTCACTCATCTAGGCAGTTCTCTTTGGTGACACTTAAAATGGCTCCAGGCTGCATCACTTCCATGGTGGGAAATACTTCTGTATTTTTTACCTGTTGTTCGTGCGAGCACAGTTACATCCCAAACATGGCAGTCTACCTTAGCATCATCTGAGGCTGATAAGCAGTTTCTCATTTCCAGATTTTTCAGACATGCATCAGGACCAGTCTGAGCCCTCTCTCAGAAATTCATCTGAGCCCTTTCTCAGAAATTCAGGGGATACATATAAGGCAGAGGGCATTCAGTGGTCCATTTGAAGTTTTCGCTAGGTATGAGCTGAGAAATCAAACAGCCCCACTACTACCCTTGGGGTAGTGAGCAAGAGATCAAACTGCAGAGTTTGTCACAAAGAATACTTTCTTACAAGTATTCTTTTCAACTCCACCTTCTCAAGGCATTTACACACTCTTTGAGAGTTTTGGAGCCTTCTAACTGGTTGTTAGCACATCTTTGGAATTTCTGTTTTGTGTTCTGGTATTTTACTTTGGAATTTTCCACTACATCACTGAACCTCAGTCAAAACTTCCAATTTAGGGGGCCAAGATGGCCAACTAGAAGCAGCAATTGGAGGCTTCCGTCAAAAAGAACCGTAACAGCTTGCAAATCTTTTACTGGCAACCGAGGTATCCAGGTTCTGTTATCAAAACTGACTAGGTGGCTGGTGTGACCCACAGAGAAGAAGGAAGAGCAGTGTGGTGTGTTGGTCCACTTGAGAGCCACACAGGGCAGGGGGGCCCCCAACCCCCAGCCAAGGGAGGCAGTGAGTGAGCAGGCTACCCAGTCTGGGAAAACATGCTTTTTCCATGGAACTGTGTAACCCACAGATCAGAAGATCCCCGCTAGTAAACCCATGCCACTGTGGCCAAGGGTCCCAACCATAGAGCTGTGCAGATTCTCAATAGCCACTAAGCTAGAATCTGCTTAAGCCTGCTGAGACTCTTTGGGGAGTGGCGACCAGCACCACAGCTGTGGCTGCCTGCTGTCTAAGCTGTTGGAGGGAAGGGTTGACTGCCAACACTGGGACTGATAGCTGCCTAACGCACTAAGCTCCCAGGGCAAGGGAAGGGCAGCAGCCATCTCCATAGCTCCAGGCCATGCTTCTTTACTGCTGGAGCTGGGGAGGCTGGATGGCTTGGTCCCAAGAGGCATCCCCCACAGCCCAACACACTGGCTGTGGCAGACTGTGGACAGAATGTCTTTTCAGACCCCACGCTGACACATCCCTCCTCACTGGGTGGGGCCTCCTTGCAGGAACTCTGACAACTCTAACCAGTGGCTCTGGGACAGAACTCTGATCTCCGCGGGCCTGAGCATCTAGGGGGAGGAGTAGCCAGAGTCTCCACAGACCAGCAGACTTAGTTTTTCCTCTTGCTGGTTCTGAGGAATCCAGGCAGCCCAGACAAGTAAGTTTCCCCTAGTGAAGGGACACCAGAGGACAGCCAAAGTGCTTCATTAAATGGGTTCAGCTCCTCATGCCACCCAACTAGGTGCGATCCTCCAACAAGGGTTGTCAGATGCACTATATAGGAGCATTCCTACTGGCATCATGTTGGTGCCCCTCAAGGTCGGAGATCCCAGAGGAAGGAGCAGGTACCCATCTTTGCTGTTCTCCAGCCTCCTCGAGTGACATCTCCATACGCGGGAGTGAACCAGTTGGATAGGGCCTGAAGTGAACCCCCAGAAAACCACAGCAGCCTTACAGAAGAGGGACCTGACCGTTGCAAGAAAAACAAACAGAAAACAACAACAGCAGCAACAACAACAACAAAAAGTCCTAACAAAACCCTTATCCAAGGGTCAGCAGCCTCGAAACTGCTCCTGGACAAACTCATGATGATGATAAAGAATCAATGAAAATATGCTAAAAACCCAAAAGGCCAGAGGGCCTCTTCTACT